AGTGTGAAAACGTTCACACAGATCGGTGTGGCGTTCTGCTCATTTCTTTGAATTTTTAAAATGTGGTCTAAATGAATACGAATATGATGGATCCGATGGTGTTTCCTGAATGCAGAATGTTTTGGTCGGTTTTTGGTCATGGCAAAATGAGAAAAATAATCATCTTGTAAACGTAAATTAAACCGGATTTTTTATTTTATTTTGTAGCATTTCAGTTCATTTTGTAGCTACAGAAAAAGGCAATGAAAACATTCAGCCTTGTTCCAAACAAAATATATCCATGCAGTTGTTGCATATTTCCACGTGGTGACACTATAGACCACAACATTGAGAGTTCGCATTAGTAGTTTCACGCTCCTCCCAATATTACATGACGATTCGGCTTCTCCTGGCTTTGTAACAAAGACAGAACGAAAGGACGGAGGGAGGAACTGTTTTATACACCTATATAATATATATATATAGCTGATGCAGTCTAAAGTTATATGTTTTTATACTTGCAAAATGCGCGACGGGGTTTCCTTGCATTGGATGCGTGCTTAAATCACCCTTTGGAATGATGCCTGTACCGATGAGGATGTCTTTTGTTTCCTTTCTGGTGCTTGTGCTACTGGAGTGTTGCTGTGAAGCGGTGTCTGGGCAGCTCTCCTATTCCGTGTTAGAGGAAGTGAACCCGGGGACTTCTGTAGGAAATATCGCCAAGGATCTAAACCTCAGCCTTCAGGAGTTGGAAGCCCGTATGTTTCAGATTGTTACTGGATCAAAAAGGAAATATTTCGAGGTAAACGTAAAGACTGGTGTTCTCTTTGTCAATGAGAGAATAGACAGAGAGGAGCTCTGTACGAAGGAACCAAAATGCACAATCAGCGTAGAAGCGGTGATAAACAACCCGCTGAAGCTGTATCGTTTAGAAATAAATATACTTGATGTTAACGACAACGACCCGTTATTCACGGAAAAATCTCAAATTGTAGATATAGCAGAGAATACTCTGCCTGGCATGAAATTCGCTTTGTCGGAGGCTATCGATGCAGATGTAGGGAAGAATACAGTTAATGCGTTTAAATTAACACCAAATGAATATTTCTCTCTCGCTACGATCAAAGGAGGAGAGAGCGTGTCTGCCGAATTAGTTCTACAGAAAACGCTGGATCGAGAAAAACAGCCTGTGATATATCTTACTGTGACTGCTATAGATGGGGGGACTCCATCGAGATCTGGCACTTCACAGGTCATTATACACGTTTTAGACATAAATGATAACCCTCCAGTGTTCAGTAACCCCTTGTACAAAACTCCTATATATGAAAACACGCCAATCGGCGCAACAGTGATTACACTAAATGCAACCGACGCAGACGAAGGGATAAACGGTGAGATAGTGTATTCATTGAGAAGTAAAGGACAGGATCGTATATTAGAGATTTTTCAGATTGATCCCATAACGGGTGCCATAATGGTCAAAGCTAAAGTCGATTATGAGGAAAATAAAGCCTTTGAGATCCGTGCAGAAGCAAACGATAAAGCTCAGCCACCAATGTCCGCTCACTGCAAAGTGCTAGTAGAAGTAATTGATGTAAACGACAACGCTCCCGAGATCACTGTTACGTCATTATTAAATGCAGTGAAAGAGGATGCTGTTGCAGGTACTGCTATTGCACTTGTCTCAATTGTCGACAAAGATGGTGGAAAGAACGGCGAAGTGAAATGTAAAATCTTAAACCAGGTTCCCTTTAAACTAGAGACTAACTACAAAAACTATTATTCTTTAGTTGTTGATGGAGCTCTTGACAGAGAAATTACCTCCACCTACAACGTAATGATATCAGCTACCGACGAGGGGAGTCCTCCTCTCTCCAACAGTAGTGTTATCACTGTTCACGTTTCTGATGTTAATGACAACTCGCCTCGTTTCTCAGAACCTGTGGTTAATGTTCATGTGAAAGAAAACAGTAAAGTTGGCGTAATTATTAAAACTGTATCTGCATCTGATGCTGACATTGATCAGAATGGCCAGATTAAATATTCAATTTTAGACAGTAACACTAACTCATTACCACTCTCTACAATGATAAACATAAACTCAGAGACTGGAGATATAGTCAGCCTGCAGTCTTTTAACTACGAGGAGTTAAAAACGTTTCAGTTTAAAGTTCAGGCCACAGACTCTGGTGTTCCTCCTCTCAGCAGCAACGTGACTGTGAACGTTTTGATTCTGGATGAAAATGACAATAATCCAACGATTCTCGCGCCCTATTCTGAGCACGGCTCCGTTAACAGTGAGAGCATCCCCTATTCTGCTGAAGCGGGATACTTTGTGGCAAAGATCAGGGCTGTAGACGCAGACTCTGGATACAATGCGCTGCTTTCTTATCACCTGTCTGAGCCCAAAGGAAACAACCTCTTCCGCATCGGAACCAGCACCGGAGAGATCCGGACTAAGAGGAGAATGAGTGACAATGACCTGAAAACTCACCCCTTGGTGGTTCTGGTTTCTGATAACGGAGAACCCTCCCTGTCAGCTACTGTGTCTATTGATGTGGTGGTGGTCGAAAGCACAGCTGACATCCAGACTCCGTTCAGACATGCGCCCATAAAGGAGGAGAGCTTCTCTGATTTAAACCTGTATCTGCTGATCGCCATTGTGTCGGTGTCAGTGATCTTTCTGCTGAGCCTCATCAGTTTAATAGCTGTCAAATGCCACAGGACAGACAGTTTCAGCAGGTACAGCGCCCCAATGATCACCACCCACCCTGACGGGAGCTGGTCTTACTCTAAATCTACTCAGCAGTATGACGTGTGTTTCAGCTCAGACACGTTGAAGAGTGACGTGGTAGTTTTCCCCGCCCCGTTTCCGCCTGTAGATGGTGAACTGATCAGTATTAACGGAGGAGACACTTTTACCAGAACTCAAACTTTACCCAACAAAGAGAAGGTAAGAGACGTAAATTAACATCATCGATCAATGCACATTTTGTTTCTCATTTATTGGTTTTGCCGCTTTAAGCCTACGGCAAAAACGTGAAAATAATATTGCAATTACCCCTCGGTGTTTGGAATACAAAAGGTGGTCGAAGTGTGGGTCCCTTCAGCAGTGACAGTAGTGAATCATTATTATTATTATGAACTGCTTGGCAACATCAAAAGATCCATAGATTGCATATAGCCACAGTTTAAATACTCTCACAAGCCATTGAATGGGAAAGGCGCTCTCCATGGTGCTGATATCTCTCCGCGTTCCTCTGTCATTTACACATGTGCTACTTCACGCACTTATGATGAGTTTGTAGTACACGTGCCATAGTTTGTCGGTCGGTCGACACATTTAGAAAGCCATAAAAACATGTTTATATATAAAGCGACTATACATTTTTGAATTATACGGCCATGACGTTTAGCATTCTAGATATCAACAACAAAAATACACACTGGTAAAATATTGAGAAAGGAAACGAGGAGTTCTGTCCTAAATGAGCGTCTGGTTTGTAAAACTAAACATTTTTTTTTCAAAGCTGGGAACAGTCATACTATCATTAATGTATTCGGTAACACTTTATAATGAGTACACTATTAAGCATTAGTTAAGCATGAATAAATACGAATTCATCATTTATAATGCATGAATACACATTAGTATGTAGTTTATAAACACAGTTAAAAATGTTTTATTCATCATTGATAAGCACATTAGTTATGGATTAGTAAATACTGAATTCATCATTTATAAAGCATGATTCTGCTGTAAATAGTCATTACTATGTGGTTTATAATCACAGTTATAAATGTTTTACTCTTCATTGTACTGTACATTTCTGCATGCACTTGCAATCCACTATTCAGACATGTATCAACGTGATGACGTGCTGAGAGCGAATTACGTCATATTTACGTTAACTCTCAGAAGTACAGTGAGCCAAGGGAGCATGGAGAAGCACATAGTCGGCGGCCGTCAGCGCTATGGAATATGTGTCTTTTGGTTGCACACATTATGGTTGAAAGATAACGTTAGCTTGTCAGCAGCTGCAGGTGTTTGCCCTCGCTCCCCGACTAACGTTACTAACGTTACCGACCCGCCCGCGGTGGCTAAGCCGACCTAGTCTAGTCTCGTCTAGCCGGGCGAGGTGAGTGCCTAGCAGCGGCAGGTCGGCTTAGCCACCGCGGGCGAACACCTGCAGCTGCTGACAAGCTAACGTTATCTTTCAACCATAATGTGCAACCAAACAAAGACACAACCCCACAGAGCCGACGGCGCAGACTAATCTCTCCAGCGCTGCACGTCAGAAACTTCGAGAGTTAACGTAAATATGACTAACATCGCTCAGCACGTCATCACGTTGATGACGTGCGAGACGGGAGCTCAACGTACACGTCCCAAACAGATAAGATCACAACAATAGCATGTCTTCATAAACCACCCTTGTGTTGTGTTTCTCCTTCGTCTGTTAAGATAACTGAACATTTTGTGAGTCTCGAGGCATTGTCAGCCTTTATATCTCATTTGTAAATCCTTAATAAGCCATAGATAGTGCTCACTTTAGATAAGCTCGTGCAAAATACTTAATTAACGAGTAGTAAGTGCTTTGTAACTGTGAATTCCTGCATTAATAACTGTTTATAGGCCATCATTAGAAAATAATTTGTTGTGAGTTTTATAGAACATCTGCTAACACAGTCACTAATCATTAATACATGTCTAAATAGTGGATGTGCAAGTGCATGCAGAAATGTACAGCACAATGAAGAGTAAAACATTTATAACTGCGATTACAAACCACATAGTAATGACTATTTACAGCAGAAACATGCTTTATAAATGATGAATTCAGTATTTACTAGTCCATAACTAATGTGCTTATCAATGATGAATAATTCATTTTTAACTGTGTTTATAAACTACATACTAATGTGTATTCATGCGTTATAAATGATGAATTAATTATTTATTCATGCTTAACTAATGCTTAATAGTGTGTACTCATTATAAAGTGTTACCATGTATTCATTTAATTCATTAAGTTTTACTTGGCAATGATCAATACATCATCGTCCCTCTTGTCAGTTATAGCATTCCTCTGTAGAGTTTACTCTGTTGACTTATTTCACTGATCTTATTGTTGTTGCCTTTGCAGCAAACAAACAATAACGGTTCACCAAACCGATCATCAATCATACATTCCTGGTGTATTGTTTAAGAAAAGATCCTAACTCGTGAAGTGTGTTTGGTAAAGTACCCACTGTGGTCTATTAGAGGAACGCAAGATGTCGCTCGAGACCACACATTCAATCGTGTTCATTAATGACCTAAAACTCCACCTCCACTGTCGGTGAAGGAAGAACCAGCCTGTACGTTTCGTAGGGGTTGGGTTAGTAAACCACTTCGTCTTGAAAGATGGTTTCTATATGACGAGAGATTGGCTGTCTTTTGGATATTGTCCTGTTTTTGTGGATGAATGAAGGTTTTTTGCCTGTATTTCTTATCTAAACGAAAAGGATGCGTCGTCAACAGTACAGAGACGCCGTATGGATGTTGTGCGCCATTCTTCTTTGTTTATCTGACTGGTCTGCAGCTCAGATTTCTTACTCCGTTTCCGAGGAGGTGGACAAAGGCACAGTGGTGGGGAATCTCGTTAAGGATTTAAACATCAATACACAGCAGCTGGAGGAACGGGGCTTTCGGATTGTATCAGGATACAGTAAGAAATATTTCGAGGCAAATTTAAGAACAGGAGCTTTGTTTGTTAACGAAAGGATTGACCGAGAAGAGCTTTGTCCGAATTCACCTAAATGTTCCTTAAATATAGAGGGACTATTGAGCCATCCTATGAATATTTATCGCATTGAGGTCATCATTATTGACATAAATGATAATGCACCGTCATTCCTCGAGCAAATCCATGTGTTTAATATATCCGAGTCTTCTTCATCTGGAGAGAGGTATCCGCTCCCAATAGCCCAAGATTCAGACACAGGCAGCAATTCAGTGAAAACATACAAGTTAAGTCCCAACGAGCATTTCGCCATAGATGTGAGTAGCGGAGGAGACAGTGCGTCTGCTGAGTTAGTGCTGCAGAAAGCTTTAGATCGAGAGAAACAACCGATTATTAAACTAACATTAACAGCTGTAGACGGAGGAAAACCTGTAAAATCTGGCACTATGCAGATCCTTGTGAATGTGATTGACGTTAATGATAACACGCCTTCTTTTAGCAAGTCGCTCTATAAAGTAAGAGTACGCGAAAATGTACCAATAAGTACAACAATATTGAAACTAAATGCAACCGATTTAGACGAAGGACCAAATTCAGACATCAAATATTCTTTAATGAAAAGAGGGAATGTGAACTCCGCTGGAAAATTTACTGTCATTCCTGAAAGCGGTGAAATCATTTTAAATGCTAATTTGGATTACGAAGAAAGCAATGCATATGAATTAAGAGTACAAGCAACAGATCAAAGGCGCTTCCCCGCGCAGTGGTTATTCTAAAGTGCTGGTAGAGGTAATCGATGTTAATGATAATGCACCGGAAATCTCTATAACTTCACTCATGAGTCCAGTAAAGGAAAGTGCGGAAACTGGAACAGTTGTTGCTTTGGTGAGTGTGACGGATAAAGATGGAGGGCAAAATGGCCTTCTCAGCTGTAAAATTAAAGACTCGGTCCCTTTCACATTGACGTCAAATTACAAAAACTATTACTCTTTGACAGTTGGCGGTCTGCTTGACAGAGAGATTGTTTCAGAGTACAATGTAACCATTACTGCTACCGACGAGGGTAGTCCACCTCTTTCTAGCACTGCTGTAATCACCGTGCAGATTTCTGATATTAATGACAACGCGCCCCATTTCCCAGAAGCCAACATGAATATTTACGTGAGAGAGAATAGTAAAGTGGGAGATATTATCACAAGGACAACTGCAGAGGATGCAGATGCAAATGAAAATGCTAAATTGACTTATTCTTTAATGGATAATTATCCGAAAGGTTTTCCGATTTCAACATTTGTAAACATCAACTCAGAGACTGGAGATATAGTCAGCTTGCAGTCTTTTAACTATGAGGAGTTAAAAACGTTTCAGTTTAAAGTTCAGGCCACAGACTCTGGTGTTCCTCCGCTCAGCAGCAACGTGACTGTGAACGTTTTGATTCTGGATGAAAATGACAATAATCCAACGATTCTCGCGCCCTATTCTGAACACGGCTCCGTTAACAGTGAGAGCATCCCCTATTCTGCTGAAGCGGGATACTTTGTGGCAAAGATCAGGGCTGTAGACGCAGACTCTGGATACAATGCGCTGCTTTCTTATCACCTGTCTGAACCCAAAGGAAACAACCTCTTCCGCATCGGAACCAGCACCGGAGAGATCCGGACTAAGAGGAGAATGAGTGACAATGACCTGAAAACTCACCCCTTGGTGGTTCTGGTTTCTGATAACGGAGAACCCTCCCTGTCAGCTACTGTGTCTATTGATGTGGTGGTGGTTGAAAGCACAGCTGACATCCAGACTCCGTTCAGACACGGGCCCATAAAGGAGGAGAGCTTCTCTGATTTAAACCTGTATCTGCTGATCGCCATTGTGTCGGTGTCAGTGATCTTTCTGCTGAGCCTCATCAGTTTAATAGCTTTCAAATGCCACAGGACAGACAGTTTCAGCAGGTACAGCGCCCCAATGATCACCACCCACCCTGACGGGAGCTGGTCTTACTCTAAATCTACTCAGCAGTATGACGTGTGTTTCAGCTCAGACACGTTGAAGAGTGACGTAGTGGTTTTCCCCGCCCCGTTTCCGCCTGTAGATGGTGAGCTGATCAGTATTAACGGAGGAGACACTTTTACACGGACTCAAACTTTACCTAACACAGAAAAGGTATGTGTTCTTCAGTTTTCAGTGAAGTTCTTTAATTTTGTATGATTTATATTTTTTCAAATAATATTTTAGTATAATTATGCATACACAAGTCAACATGACTTGTAATCAAAGAAAAATCTAAAAGTAGAAGTAAAAATTTCCTGGTTGCCATAGCAAGAGTTTATTCTGTTCACGTAAGCACTCGGTACATATTGTAGTTTACAAATTAACTAATACAAGTTCACATCACTGTTGGAATTCACAACGAAGACTGAGAACCTAGATTCATGTTTTATGGTCTTGATATGTCGGTCTTTGAGAGCATCTTTTTTAACAGTGTGATCTTTAAACAGCACTTCATGTGGTTCATATGCTGAATGTACAGCGCTCTCCGTGGTGCTGAAATTAGTCTATGCAAACTTTGAATTCTGCAAGTTCTCTGGATGTTTCTTTATTAGTAGTAAAATGTATTGGTGGGCTGATGACTAATTTTACGTAAAACAAAATATTTTGCCATTTTCAGATTTACATTTGAAAAGGAACATGATTCAATTATTAAATATCAACTATACTAACAAATAACCTTCATTTTTATTCTATACACTGAAGCCAATTTATGTGCCAATGATTTTAATAATACAAGTCTTTTAAACTGCAAATCATTGGTCTAAGTGTTATTCACATTTATGGACGTATCTGTCGTTTACCACACGATGTCGCTGGAGACCATGGATATGATTGTTACAATATGTGTAAAACTCCTCCCTGCACGGGAAACCTAAAACCGTCACTGGCCATCAGTTAAGAGAGACAGCAGGGTTGTGTTGTGGCGAGAAGGGCTCCTGCTGCCGCTGAATAATCGTGTTTATGACGGATAAACTGGAAATACATGACTATCGGGATTCGGTGCTCACTGTACAACGATGGGAAACGAGGAATATGTCTGGATTCGTGTTGTTGCACTGCTGTTTCTTTGTGACTGGTCTGCTTCGCAGTTATCTTACTCCATTTCCGAGGAGGTGAACAAAGGCACCGTGGTGGGGAACATCGCGAAGGATTTGAATTTGAATGTACAAGATCTAGAAACCAGGGATCTACGTATTGTTTCGAGTTACAGTAAGAGCTATTTCGACGTGAATTTGCGGACCGGGAACCTCTTTGTTGGCGAGAGGATAAACAGAGAAGAGATTTGTCCGAATTCGGCACAATGCTCATTGAGAATACAGGCTGTTTTAAGCAATCCAATGAATGTACACCGCATTGAGGTCAGTGTTTTAGATATAAATGACAACTCCCCAGAATTCATTGAGCAGTCGTTTTCATTAAACATCTCCGAATCACTGTCACCGGGAGAGCGATATCTGCTCCCAATAGCAGTAGACGCAGACATAGGGAGTAATTCAGTAAAGAACTACAAGCTGAGCCAAAATGAATATTTCTCGCTTGATGTGCAGAGCGGTGGAGAACACGGTGTGTCTGCTGAGTTAGTGCTGCAGAAAGCTTTAGACCGAGAGAAACAGTCGGTTATTAAACTTATTTTGACTGCTCTGGATGGAGGAAAACCTGCTAGATCAGGCACATTGCAGATAAATGTTAATGTAATAGATGCCAATGATAATCCACCAATTTTTAGCAAATCGCTTTATAAAGTGCATGTCCGTGAAAACACTGCACACGGAACGGTAGTAATTAAATTAAATGCAACCGATTTAGACGAAGGCATGAACAGTAAGATCCTGTATTCTTTGATAAAACGAGGAAATATTGATCCATCAAATATTTTTGATCTAAATTCAGAAACAGGAGAAATCACTGTGAAGGGTACATTAGATTATGAAGAGACGCCTGCTTATGAGGTTAGAGTTCAAGCAAGGGATCAAGGTACCTCTCCTCGTAGTGCACATGCTAAACTACTGATAGAGATAATTGATGTGAATGACAATGCCCCGGAAATATCGGTGACGTCACTGATGACCCCAGTAAAGGAAGACGCAGAACTGGGGACAATCGTTGCTTTGGTTACAGTGAGTGATAAAGATGGAGGAAATAATGGAGTAACTAACTGTAAGGTAGTTGGGTCTGTTCCCTTTAAACTGAAGTCTAACTATAAAAATGACTATTCATTAGTAGTAGATGGACCACTGGACAGAGAAAACACTTCTCTTTATAATGTCACCATTACAGCCACAGATGAAGGAAGTCCACCTCTGTCCAGTATCAGGGTCATTACTGTTGATGTTTCTGATGTTAATGATAACGCTCCTCGATTTATGGAGCCTGTGATTAATGTTTACGTTAAAGAAAACAGTCCAGTAGGCTCCGTTATTTACACAATAAATGCGTTTGATCCCGATTTAGACAATAATGCAAAACTGAGTTATAAATTGTTAGATAGTTCTCCAAAGAATATTCCGATTTCATCTGTTGTAAACATCAACTCAGAGACTGGAGATATAGTCAGTCTGCAGTCTTTTAACTATGAGGAGTTAAAAACGTTTCAGTTTAAAGTTCAGGCCACAGACTCTGGTGTTCCTCCGCTCAGCAGCAACGTGACTGTGAACGTTTTGATTCTGGATGAAAATGACAATAATCCAACGATTCTCGCGCCCTATTCTGAGCACGGCTCCGTTAACAGTGAGAGCATCCCCTATTCTGCTGAAGCGGGATACTTTGTGGCAAAGATCAGGGCTGTAGACGCAGACTCTGGATACAATGCGCTGCTTTCTTATCACCTGTCTGAGCCCAAAGGAAACAACCTCTTCCGCATCGGAACCAGCACCGGAGAGATCCGGACTAAGAGGAGAATGAGTGACAATGACCTGAAAACTCACCCCTTGGTGGTTCTGGTTTCTGATAACGGAGAACCATCCCTGTCAGCTACTGTGTCTATTGATGTGGTGGTGGTTGAAAGCACAGCTGACATCCAGACTCCGTTCAGACATGCGCCCATAAAGGAGGAGAGCTTCTCTGATTTAAACCTGTATCTGCTGATCGCCATTGTGTCGGTGTCAGTGATCTTTCTGCTGAGCCTCATCAGTTTAATAGCTGTCAAATGCCACAGGACAGACAGTTTCAGCAGGTACAGCGCCCCAATGATCACCACCCACCCTGACGGGAGCTGGTCTTACTCTAAATCTACTCAGCAGTATGACGTGTGTTTCAGCTCAGACACGTTGAAGAGTGACGTAGTAGTTTTCCCCGCCCCGTTTCCACCTGTAGATGGTGAGCTGATCAGTATTAATGGAGGAGACACTTTTACCAGAACTCAAACTTTACCTAACACAGAAAAGGTATGTACTCTTAAGTTTTCAATGAAGTTCTTTAATTTTGTATGATTTATATTTTTCAAATAATATTTTAGTATAATTATGCATACACGAGTCAACATGACTTGTATTCAAAGAAAAATCTAAAAGTAGAAGTAAAAATTTCCTGGTTGCCATAGCAAGAGTTTATTCTGTTCACGTAAGCACTCGGTACATATTGTAGTTTACAAATTAACTAATACAAGTTCACAAAACTGTTGGAATTCACACCTAGATTCATGTTTTATGGTCTTGATATGTCGGTCTTTGAGAGCATCATGTGGTTCATATGCTGAATTTACAGCGCTCTCCGTGGTGCTGAAATTAGTCTATGCAAACTTTGAATTCTGCCAGTTCTCTTGGTGCTTCTTTATCAGAAGTAAAATGTATTGGTGGGCTGATGACTAATTTTACGTAAAACAAAATATTTTGCCATTTTCAGATTTACATTTGAAAAGGAACATGATTCAATTATTAAATATCAACTATACTAACAAATAACCTTCATTTTTATTCTATACACTGAAGCCAATTTATGTGCCAATGATTTTAATAATACAAGTGTTTTAAACTGCAAATCATTGGTCTAAGTGTTATTCACATTTATGGACGTATTTGTCGTTTACCACACGATGTCGCTGGAGACCATGGATATGATTGTTACAGTACGTGTAAAACTCCTCCCTGTACGGGAAACCTAAAACCGTCACTGGCCATCAGTTAAGAGAGACAGCGGGGTTGTGTTGTGGCGAGAAGGGCTCCTGCTGCCGCTGAATAATCGTGTTTATGACGGATAAACTGGAAATACATGAGTATCGGGATTCGGTGCTCACTGTACAACGATGGGAAACGAGGAATATGTCTGGATTCGTGTTGTTGCACTGCTGTTTCTTTGTGACTGGTCTGCTTCGCAATTATCTTACTCCATTTCCGAGGAGGTGAACAAAGGCACCGTGGTGGGGAACATCGCAAAGGATTTGAATTTGAATGTACAAGATCTAGAAACCAGGGATCTACGTATTGTTTCGAGTTACAGTAAGAGCTATTTCGACGTGAATTTGCGGACCGGGAACCTCTTTGTTGGCGAGAGGATAAACAGAGAAGAGATTTGTCCGAATTCGGCACAATGCTCATTGAGAATACAGGCTGTTTTAAGCAATCCAATGAATGTACACCGCATTGAGGTCAGTGTTTTAGATATAAATGACAACTCCCCAGAATTCATTGAGCAGTCGTTTTCATTAAACATCTCCGAATCAATGTCACCGGGAGAGCGATATCTGCTCCCAATAGCAGAAGACGCAGACATAGGGAGTAATTCAGTAAAGAACTACAAGCTGAGCCAAAATGAATATTTCTCGCTTGATGTGCAGAGCGGTGGAGAACACGGTGTGTCTGCTGAGTTAGTGCTGCAGAAAGCTTTAGACCGAGAGAAACAGTCGGTTATTAAACTTATTTTGACTGCTCTGGATGGAGGAAAACCTGCTAGATCAGGCACATTGCAGATAAACGTTAATGTATTGGATGTCAATGATAATACACCGATTTTTAGCAAATCGCTTTATAAAGTGCATGTGCATGAAAATGCTGCACACGGAACAGTGGTAATAAAATTAAATGCAACAGATTTAGACGAGGGCATGAACAGTAAGATCCTGTATTCTTTAATTAAACGAGGAAATACTGATCCATCAAATATCTTTGATCTCAAATTCAGAAACAGGAGAAATCACTGTGAAGGGTACTTTAGATTGTGAAGAGACGCCTGCTTATGAGGTTAGAGTTCAGGCAATGGATCAAGGGACTTTTCCTCGTAGTGCACATGCTAAACTACTAATAGAGATAATTGATGTGAATGACAATGCCCCGGAAATATCGGTGACGTCACTGATGACCCCAGTAAAAGAAGACGCAGAACTGGGGACAATCGTTGCTTTGGTTACAGTGAGTGATAAAGATGGAGGAAATAATGGAGTAACTAACTGTAAGGTAGTTGGGTCTGTTCCCTTTAAACTGAAGTCTAACTATAAAAATGACTATTCATTAGTAGTAGATGGACCACTGGACAGAGAAAACACTTCTCTTTATAATGTCACCATTACAGCCACAGATGAAGGAAGTCCACCTCTGTCCAGTATCAGGGTCATTACTGTTGATGTTTCTGATGTTAATGATAACGCTCCTCGATTTATGGAGCCTGTGATTAATGTTTACGTTAAAGAAAACAGTCCAGTAGGCTCCGTTATTTACAAAATAAATGCGTTTGATCCCGATTTAGACAATAACGCAAAACTGACTTACAAATTATTAAATGGCTCTCCAAAGAATATTCCAATTTCATCTGTTGTAAACATCAACTCAGAGACTGGAGATATAGTCAGTCTGCAGTCTTTTAACTATGAGGAGTTAAAAACGTTTCAGTTTAAAGTTCAGGCCACAGACTCTGGTGTTCCTCCGCTCAGCAGCAACGTGACTGTGAACGTTTTGATTCTGGATGAAAATGACAATAATCCAACGATTCTCGCGCCCTATTCTGAGCACGGCTCCGTTAACAGTGAGAGCATCCCCTATTCTGCTGAAGCGGGATACTTTGTGGCAAAGATCAGGGCTGTAGACGCAGACTCTGGATACAATGCGCTGCTTTCTTATCATCTGTCTGAGCCCAAAGGAAACAACCTCTTCCGCATCGGAACCAGCACCGGAGAGATCCGGACTAAGAGGAGAATGAGTGACAATGACCTGAAAACTCACCCCTTGGTGGTTCTGGTTTCTGATAACGGAGAACCATCCCTGTCAGCTACTGTGTCTATTGATGTGGTGGTGGTTGAAAGCACAGCTGACATCCAGACTCCGTTCAGACATGGGCCCATAAAGGAGGAGAGCTTCTCTGATTTAAACCTGTATCTGCTGATCGCCATTGTGTCGGTGTCAGTGATCTTTCTGCTGAGCCTCATCAGTTTAATAGCGGTCAAATGCCACAGGACAGACAGTTTCAGCAGGTACAGCGCCCCAATGATCACCACCCACCCTGACGGGAGCTGGTCTTACTCTAAATCTACTCAGCAGTATGACGTGTGTTTCAGCTCAGACACGTTGAAGAGTGACGTAGTAGTTTTCCCCGCCCCGTTTCCGCCTGTAGATGGTGAACTGATCAGTATTAACGGAGGAGACACTTTTACGCGGACTCAGACTTTACCTAATAAAGAACAGGTAGGCTATGTTTTGCAATTACTTCTTACTAATTGACAACGTATATAAAACGCAATTACATTGTTTATTTTACTTTATTTTATCCAAGCGGTTATATAAAAAGTAAGTGTACGTGTCATTGAGCGATAACACCGACTTCCCATATGTCACTTGTCAATAAACAACTAATGTCACCTTTTTATGGATGCTCAACCATACTTTATGGAAGCTGCTCCATTTCATGGAAATTACCAGCGCTCATGGATATAAACTTCCTTCACTGCAACCAACAGTAGCAGCATAACTAGTAATACGGTCAGAATGTGTTCCATTTAGCTTGCTCTCATCTTTAAACCACACTTCTCCGTTAAAACACCACACACAAAAATGCATTTTTGGCTGCTATTTTACATGACATTTTTGTCTCATGAATATTCAAAAAGCCAAGCTGTTCAATTGTAGAAAATGTGACGAATTAAAGAGAAAATCGTTTGAAAATCTCCCCTGAAAATATATTATATTGGGAGACGGACATTAAATCAATCGTATCTGGGTTGAAGCAGCGCTGACTATGGTCCTAAAGTAAGTCTTTGCAGTCTTTGGCTCCAACGCCACTATACGGCCAACCTGCTTAAGCCTTCTGGAAAAAATCTCAACAGTATAGGGCAACGTGACGCTCGCCATTTTGCTGAACTTAACAGTCTCTGGTTTTACTGCCGTTCTTCTCCCTCTCAACCACCATTTCCACGCTGAACTGAAAATAGCTCTTGGGAATTGAACAGGTTTATGAAATGGCGCTCTCCGTGGTCCTGAAGTCAGGCTTGTTCCGGTTTCTGCGCTGTTAACTATGAAACAAGCATCTTTTAATATATCATCATTATTATCATTTGCATTGTTTACTAAAGGGGCTTTGTATGTTTTTTAGATGACATGAGCCAGTTTCTTAGTTGTTGTTTTTTTCTGGATACATTACAGTATTTGAACCCTTGAGTGGCTTGTCTGGCTTTGAAAAATGTCCATTAATGGATGGCTGTTGCTCGATGAATATTTAGCTTAATGTTTAAATGATCAACACTGACATTAATATATATGTGAGAAACTTCTAAGTATTTGTTCGTGATTTGAGGCCAATCGTCTTACGGGGTTAGGCTGCATTTTGACACATAAGAAATGATTTGTGCATAAATATATTGCAAATGATTTGACAAAGTAAAAGTCGAACTTACCAAGCATTCACCACAAGATGTCGCTGGAGACCATAGATCAGAAGGTTTCTGTTTATCTAAAACTCCTCCTCTTTGAATGGTAAAAATGTAATCGTCATCGGCCATTATAATCTCCGAGGCACTCGATGCTGTTGTGACCAGAAAGGCTGAAGCTTAAAGGAACTATTTGCTTCTCTAGGAATCACCTACACAGGGGATTAACGATTGACTCGGTTCGGCTCTTTCACCGCACCAAGGATGTATGTACGAAGACTAAAGGAACACGCCTGGATTCATATTTTTGCGCTGCTTTGTCTTTGTGACTGCTCTGCCTCTCAGATATCTTACTCCGTGTACGAGGAGGTGAACAAAGGCACTGTAGTGGGAAATATCGCAAAGGATTTGAACCTCAATGTACAGGATCTAGAAAACAGAGATCTCCAAATCGTATCGGGTTACAAGAAGAAATATTTTGATGTGAATTTGCGGACCGGGAACATCTTTGTTGACGAAAGAATAGACAGAGAAGAGTTTTGTCCGAATACGGTAAAATGCTCCATGAAATTACAGGCCGTTCTGAACAACCCAATGACTGCACACCGTATTGAAGTAAATGTTTTAGATATCAATGATAACTCCCCTGTTTTTATTGAACAATCACATTTATTAAATATAACGGAGTCACTGTCACCGGGAGAGCGATATCTGCTCCCAATAGCAGAAGACGCAGACATAGGCAGTAACTCAGTGAAAGAGTTATAAACTGAGCCAAAATGAATATTTTTCACTTGATGTGCAGAGCGGTGGAGAACACGGTGTGTCTGCTGAGTTAGTGCTGCAGAAAGCTTTAGACCGAGAGAAACAGTCGGTTATTAAACTTCTGCTGACGGCTGTAGATGGAGGTAAACCACCTAGATCAGGAACACTGCAGTTAACTGTTAATGTATTAGACGTCAATGATAATACACCGACGTTTAGTAAATCTCTTTATAAAGTGAATGTTAAAGAAAATGCGACACCCGAGACACTCGTAATTAAATTAAATGCAACAGATTTAGACGAGGGCATAAACAGTAAGATCCTGTATTCCTTCATCAAACGAGGAAATATTGATCCATCAAATATTTTCGATCTAAATTCAGAAACAGGAGAAATCACTGTGAAGGGTACATTAGATTATGAAGAGACGCCTGCTTATGAGGTTAGAGTTCAAGCAAGGGATCAAGGCTTCTCTCCTCGTAGTGCACATGCTAAACTACTGATAGAGATCATTGATGTGAATGACAATGCCCCGGAAATATCGGTGACGTCACTGATGACCCCAGTAAAGGAAGACGCAGAACTGGGGACAATCGTTGCTTTGGTTACAGTGAGTGATAAAGATGGAGGAAATAATGGAGTAACTAACTGTAAGGTAGTTGGGTCTGTTCCCTTTAAACTGAAGTCTAACTATAAAAATGACTATTCATTAGTAGTAGATGGACCACTGGACAGAGAAAACACTTCTCTTTATAATGTCACCATTACAGCCACAGATGAAGGAAGTCCACCTCTGTCCAGTATCAGGGTCATTACTGTTGATGTTTCTGATGTTAATGATAACGCACCTCGATTTATGGAGCCTGTGATTAATGTTTACGTTAAAGAAAACAGTCCAGTAGGCTCCGTTATTTACACAATAAATGCGTTTGATCCCGATTTAGACAATAATGCAAAACTGAGTTATAAATTGTTAGATAGTTCTCCAAAGAATATTCCGATTTCATCGATCGTTAACATCAACTCAGAGACTGGAGATATAGTCAGTCTGCAGTCTTTTAACTATGAGGAGTTAAAAACGTTTCAGTTTAAAGTTCAGGCCACAGACTCTGGTGTTCCTCCGCTCAGCAGCAACGTGACTGTGAACGTTTTGATTCTGGATGAAAATGACAATAATCCAACGATTCTCGCGCCCTATTCTGAGCACGGCTCCGTTAACAGTGAGAGCATCCCCTATTCTGCTGAAGCGGGATACTTTGTGGCAAAGATCAGGGCTGTAGACGCAGACTCTGGATACAATGCGCTGCTTTCTTATCACCTGTCTGAGCCCAAAGGAAACAACCTCTTCCGCATCGGAACCAGCACCGGAGAGATCCGGACTAAGAGGAGAATGAGTGACAATGACCTGAAAACTCACCCCTTGGTGGTTCTGGTTTCTGATAACGGAGAACCCTCCCTGTCAGCTACTGTGTCTATCGATGTGGTGGTGGTTGAAAGCACAGCTGACATCCAGACTCCGTTCAGACATGCGCCCATAAAGGAGGAGAGCTTCTCTGATTTAAACCTGTATCTGCTGATCGCCATTGTGTCGGTGTCAGTGATCTTTCTGCTGAGCCTCATCAGTTTAATAGCTGTCAAATGCCACAGGACAGACAGTTTCAGCAGGTACAGCGCCCCAATGATCACCACCCACCCTGACGGGAGCTGGTCTTACTCTAAATCTACTCAGCAGTATGACGTGTGTTTCAGCTCAGACACGTTGAAGAGTGACGTAGTAGTTTTCCCCGCCCCGTTTCCACCTGTAGATGGTGAACTGATCAGTATTAATGGAGGAGACACTTTTACGCGGACTCAAACTTTACCTAATAAAGAAAAGGTAGGTACTTTTTGAAGCTTTCAAAAATAAGAATGCGTTCACAATATTCATTTCCTCACTGCCTATGATTCTATATTTTTCAAATATTTTATATTTTAGTATAATGATATGCATAACAAGAATCAAACATGACTTGTATTCAATGAAAAATCTAAAGAATAGAAGTAATGAAGTTTGTCACAACCAAAGGATAGAGCTTTCATAGTCTGCACTTTAACCGACGTTCTAAACACAATCGTAACAAACTCAGCCCTTACAGACTTGATGCCACGTCCTCTACCTGAAATGCTAACTAATACCAAGTTCCAATCAATTTTCAACTAAACAGCTCTGTTTTAGGACATTCAAACAAGCCGATAGACTGAGAATCTAGATTCTCATGGAACTAGTTTTTATGGCATCCTGCTGCAAACCTGATCTTGAGGCTGTTGAAAGCATTTCATAAGTGGTTCATATTTTGCTGAATTTACAGTGAAGAAACAGCGCTCTCCGTGGTACTGAAATTAAACCGTCTATGTAAACTGTTTAATTCTGCCAGTTCTCAAAATTTGCATGCTTCTTTCGAAATTGAAGAAGTGAAAAGATGCTGGACTTGGTGGTCTGATGACTATAGGTGGTTTCTGTACCTAAAGAATTTTAATTTTGCCATTTAATCTAGATTTACATTTGAAAAAGGGACATGATTAAATTATTAAATATCAAATAGTGAAATTCTCTCTACTGAGACTAACAAATAATATGCCGTCCATTATAGTTTCTATGGCCACTGAAGCCAACTATTCATGTGCCTTAATGATTTTTTTAAATCAATATTATACAACCCTTTTAAAGTCTGATTCATAATCATTGTGAACTATGTGACTGAGTGACATTGTGGATGGACGGATACATGTCGTTTACCACACGATGTCGCTGGAGACCATGGATATGAATGTGTTTCAGTAAGTCCAAAACTCCTCCTCCTGTACGGGAAAACCTAAAACTCGTCACTGGCCATCAGTTAAGAGTGACAGCAGGGTTGTGTTGTGGCGAGAAGGGCTCCTGCTTCCCCTGAATAATAGTGTTTATGACGGATAAACTGTAGAAGATACATGATCGTATCGGTTAGTTCTTTAGGTGTTCCACGATGTACAACGATGGGAAACGAGGAATATGTCTGGATTCGTGTTGTTGCACTGCTGTTTCTTTGTGACTGGTCTGCTTCGCAATTATCTTACTCTATTTCCGAGGAGGTGAACAAAGGCACGGTGGTGGGGAATATTGCAAAGGATTTGAAACTTTGAATGTACAAGATCTAGAAACCAGGGATCTACGTATTGTTTCGAGTTACAGTAAGAGCTATTTCGACGTGAATTTGCGGACCGGGAACCTCTTTGTTGGCGAGAGGATAAACAGAGAAGAGATTTGTCCGAATGTCGGCAAAATGCTCATTGAAAATACAGGCTGTTTTAAGCAATCCAATGAATGTACACCGCATTGAGGTCAATGTTTTAGATATAAATGACAACTCCCCTGCTTTCATTGAGAAGTCGTTTTCAGTAAACATCTCCGAATCAACTGTAACCGGGAGAGCGATATCTGCTCCCAATAGCAGTAGACGCAGACATAGGCAGCAACTCAGTGAAGAGTTATAAACTGAGCCAAAATGAATATTTCTCACTTGATGTGCAGAGCGGTGGAGAACACGGTGTGTCTGCTGAGTTAGTGCTGCAGAAAGCTTTAGACCGAGAGAAACAGCCGATTATTAAAGTTATTTTGACTGCTCTAGATGGAGGAAAACCACCTAGATCAGGAACACTGCAGTTAAATGTTAATGTAATAGATACAAATGATAATACACCAATTTTTAGCAAATCTCTTTATAAAGTGCGTGTCCGTGAAAATACTGCACACGGAACGGTAGTAATAAAATTAAATGCAACAGATTTAGACGAAGGCATGAACAGTAGGATCCTGTATTCTTTGATTAAACGAGGAAATATTGATCCATCAAATATTTTCGATCTAAATTCAGAAACAGGAGAAATCACTGTGAAGGGTACATTAGATTATGAAGAGACGCCTGCTTATGAGGTTAGAGTTCAGGCAAGGGACCAAGGCACATCTCCTCGTAGTGCACATGCTAAACTACTGATAGAGATAATTGATGTGAATGACAATGCCCCGGAAATATCGATGACGTCACTGATGACCCCAGTAAAAGAAGGCGCAGAACTGGGGACAATCGTTGCTTTGGTTACAGTGAGTGATAAAGATGGAGGAAATAATGGAGTAACTAACTGTAAGGTAGTTGGGTCTGTTCCCTTTAAACTGAAGTCTAACTATAAAAATGACTATTCATTAGTAGTAGATGGACCACTGGACAGAGAAAACACTTCTCTTTATAATGTCACCATTACAGCCACAGATGAAGGAAGTCCACCTCTGTCCAGTATCAGGGTCATTACTGTTGATGTTTCTGATGTTAATGATAACGCACCTCGATTTATGGAGCCTGTGATTAATGTTTACGTTAAAGAAAACAGTCAAGTAGGCTCCGTTATTTACACAATAAATGCGTTTGATCCCGATTTAGACAATAACGCAAAACTGAGTTATAAATTGTTAGATAGTTCTCCAAAGAATATTCCGATTTCATCTGTTGTAAACATCAACTCAGAGACTGGAGATATAGTCAGCCTGCAGTCTTTTAACTATGAAGAGTTAAAAACGTTTCAGTTTAAAGTTCAGGCCACAGACTCTGGTGTTCCTCCACTCAGCAGCAACGTGACTGTGAACGTTTTGATTCTGGATGAAAATGACAATAACCCAACGATTCTCGCGCCCTATTCTGAGCACGGCTCCGTTAACAGTGAGAACATCCCCTATTCTGCTGAAGCGGGATACTTTGTGGCAAAGATCAGGGCTGTAGACGCAGACTCTGGATACAATGCGCTGCTTTCTTATCACCTGTCTGAGCCCAAAGGAAACAACCTCTTCCGCATCGGAACCAGCACCGGAGAGATCCGGACTAAGAGGAGAATGAGTGACAATGACCTGAAAACTCACCCCTTGGTGGTTCTGGTTTCTGATAACGGGGAACCCTCCCTGTCAGCTACTGTGTCTATTGATGTGGTGGTGGTTGAAAGCACAGCTGACATCCAGAATCCGTTCAGACATGGGCCCATAAAGGAGGAGAGCTTCTCTGATTTAAACCTGTATCTGCTGATCGCCATTGTGTCGGTGTCAGTGATCTTTCTGCTGAGCCTCATCAGTTTAATAGCTGTCAAATGCCACAGGACAGACAGTTTCAGCAGGTACAGCGCCCCAATGATCACCACCCACCCTGACGGGAGCTGGTCTTACTCTAAATCTACTCAGCAGTATGACGTGTGTTTCAGCTCAGACACGCTCAAGAGTGACGTAGTAGTTTTCCCCGCCCCGTTTCCGCCTGTAGATGGTGAACTGATCAGTATTAACGGAGGAGACACTTTTACGCGGACTCAGACTTTACCCAACAAAGAGAAGGTAGGCTATTTATGCTGAATGCTTGTAAAACTTAAGAATGCTATCACAAAATATGTCATTTCCTGACTGCCTATGACTCTGAATATTTACAGTATTTTGATATATTAAAAATGTACATATGCATAACAACAATCAAACATCATTACTACACTAAGGGAATAATGAATCCCAATTTATGACGTTTGTCACAACAAAAACTGATACAGCTTTTGATAGTCCGACTGCACTTTAAGCCTGGGATATGTTTTCTTAAACACAAGTTGTAACATAACTTCTAGTCCTTTCAGACTTGATGCCACATGTCCTCTACCTGAAGTGGTCTGTGGCGTAATACCAAGCTCCAATCAATTTTTAACTAAACAGCTCGTGTGTTATAGTGGGACAATCAAACAAGCCTATAGACAGTATGCAGATAGCGCTCTCCATGGTGCTGAACTACGTTTTTGTACCATCCTGCTGCAAACCCCTTTTGATTTTGAGGCTTTTGAAAGCATTTCATAAGTAATTAAACTTATTTAAGCTGGTTTTCATGTGAACTGAAACAGCGGTTGCTGTGGTGCTGATACTAAACCTTGTGTGTTTGTAGCTGTTTCATTCTGTTGTGATCTAACATTTGCATGTCTCCCGAATTTGAACGTAGTGAAAAGGTGCTGGACTTTGTGTTGGTGATTGTCAGGTGGTTTCTGTACCATCCTGCGGTGACTCAAACTCGTTTCTTTAATCTATGATGTATTCTATATATGAGACTTTATAAGTACGGCAATAACATTGTGGAGTTAAAGTCGCTGTCATTTTCCTACTGAACCTATGATATTATATGCAGTTCACACAATAGCTTGTTTGGCCACTGAATTATTCAGCTATTCAGTTTATTTATTGTTTTTTTCAAATCAATATTTATATAATCCTCATAATGTCTCATTCATAATATTTTAAACTATTCGACTAGTGACACTTTGGATAGTATTTTCATACATATCTTTTACCACATGATGTCGCAGGAGACCATGGACATGAATGTGTTTGTAATTCCAAAACTCCTCCTTCCTGCATGGGAAAAAATGAACTCGTCATCGGCCAGCAGTACACTCACGGAAGGTGCTGTGACGAGAAGGATAGGAGCTTCACCACAACAATATTCCTTCTGACGGAAATATCTGTACTGAGGATAAATGATCGTTTCGGTTCAGTTCTTTAGTTGCTTCCACGATGTATACTCGACGACAAAAGGAATACGTCTGGATTTCCATTGTTGTGTTTCTTTGTCTTTGTGACTGGTCTGATTCGCAGTTATCCTACTCGGTTTCCGAGGAGGTGAACAAAGGCACCGTAGTGGGGAATATTGCAAAGGATTTAAACCTCAATGTTCAGGAACTAGAGACCAGGGATCTACGAATTGTTTCGAGTTACAGTAAGAAATATTTTGACGTGAATTTGCGCACCGGGAACCTCTTTGTTGATGAGAGGATAGACAGAGAAGAGCTTTGTCCCAATG